GCAATAGTCCCATTTCCATATAAGGTATGGGACTGACGGAAAGGTCTGTCACCGCCCCATTCTGCAAGCGGCAGCGAAGTGTACCTCCTCTGCGGCCCAAAGTTAAAAACTGTTGTTCTTTTGAGGCCCTCAAGGTGGCGCTCGTGGCCCATAGGTTAAGAATAACAACTCAGTATCACCTTAAACTAAAGCTAAGACAAATTAAATGTTATATCATGGTTGCTGTCATTTTTAAACTGTGCATAATTGTTGTGTTTTAGTTGCCCAAAGATAAAAACACCTCTACACCAACCTTTTTACAAAGAAAATAAAGAATTTAAAGATTTAATATTTATTTTGGGAATGTGCATTATCTGCTGCCCTGCATTCAGGGTTTTATACGAATACATTATGCAATCCTTTTAACACTCAGAGGATACGTTGGAGACAACTCTCAGCTACTACCACACCAAATTTTAGCTCAGTATTTGAAAATTTTATTGACTTAGTTATTTCTGTTTGCTTAAATCAAATGGCTGCAGCAGGCATCTTTAATCATGTTCACACCAAACGTTAATCAGTACTAGACAAATATCCGATAATGCTTTCTGAGCATTTTAGTAAAATCTGAGATATTTTGTTGACAGAGATCTGTCTGATCTGTTAGCACTTTAAGTGCTGATGACGACTTCCAGTAACTACCACACCAAATGTGAGCTCAATATTTATCAAATTAACTGAGTTATTGTAATGTTTGTGTTTGCTAAGGTCGATTAATTGTTGCAGCCATCTTGAATTGGGTTGGCTCCACTGGTTCAGACAAACACCTGAGGGTGGTGCTCAAACCCTTCTGCAAACAGGTGCTGGTCATAAAATTAGAATATCACGAAAAAGTTGATTTATTTCAGTATTTCCTTTCAAAAAGGTAAACTTGTGTATTATACTCATTCATTCCAGACTGATATATTTCAAATGTTTCTTTTATTTTGATGATTGTAACTGACAAGTAATGAAAATCCCAAATTCAGTACCTCACAAAAAAAGAAATATCAGAAATGCTGGCCAATTGAAAAGTCTGAATATGAAAAGTATGAAAATGTACAGCACTCAGTACTTAGTTGAACTGTTGGGTCTGGTGTATTACATCTTCCTCTTCACAATACCCCATAGATTATCTATGGGGTTAAGGTCAGGAGAGTTTGCTGGCCAATTAAGAACAGGGATACCATGGTCCTTCAACCAGGTACTGGTAGCTTTGGCACTGTGTGCAGGWGCCAAGTCCTGTTGGAAAATGAAATCTGCATCTCCAAAAAGTTGGTCATCAGCAGGAAGCATGAAGTGCTCTAAAACTTCTTGGTATGTGGCTGCGTTGACCCTGGACCTCAGAAAACACAATGGACCAACACCAGCAGATGACATGGCACCCCAAACCATCACTGACTGTGGAAACTTTACACTGGCTGGACCCTACCAACTTTATTTATAAAAGCACTTTAAGACAACCACAGCTGATACAAAGTGCTGTACATTAAAACACAACATATTAAAAAAGTGATTAAAAACGGTTTAAAAAAACAAAAACATACAATTTAAAACTAACTCCCGCTGGTGTTGAAAGCCAAGTAAAATAGATGGGTTTTAAGACGAGCTTTAAAAGTGGACAGTGAATGGGGCCTCTCTGACCTGCAAAGGCAGGTCATTCCATAATTTAGGGCCGATGACAGAGAAAGCCCTGTCCCCTCTGAGCTTCCTTTTTGTTCTCGGGACCTCAAGCAACGTGGATTCTGTGTCTCTCCTCTCTTCCTACAGACTCTGGGACCTTGAGTTCCAAAGGAAATCCTAAAGTTATTTTCATCAGAGAACATAACTCTGCACCACTCAGCAGCAGTCCAGTCCTTCTTGTCTTTAACCCAGGCGAGGTGCTTCTGATGTTGTCTCTTATTCAGGTTTGACACCAGAAAAGAGACAGCTGATCCCCATGTCTTCATTCGTCTGTGTGGTGGTTCTTGAAGCTCTGACTCCAGCTGCAGTCCTCTCTTTGTCAATCTCCCCTACATGTTTGAAAGGGTTTTGTTTCACAATCCTCCAGGGTTCAGTTATCCTTATTGTTTGTTTCTAAAACATATTTTCCTTCCCTTTGCCTCTCTATTAATGTATTTGGACACAGAGCTCTGTGAACAGCCAGCCTCTTTAGCAATGAGCTTTTGTGTCTTTCCCTCCTTGTGCAAAGTGTCAATGTTCATCTTCTGGACAACTGTCAAGTCAGCAGTCTTCCCCATGATTGTGTGGCTTACAGAACTAGACTGAGACCATTTAAAGGCCTCTGCAGGTGTTTTCAGTTAATTAGCTGATTAGAGTGTGGTACCAGGTGTCTTCAATATTGAACTTTTTAACAATATCCTAATTTTCTGAGATACTGAATTTGGGATCTTCATTATCAGCTATAATCATCAAAATTAAAATAAATAAAATTTGAAAGATATTAGTCTGTGTGTAGTTAATGAATATAATACAAAAGTTTCACTTTTTGAATGGAATTACAGAAATAAATAAACTTTTTCATGATTTTCAGCACCTGTATATAGACTACCTTTATGTAGTACCTTTATTTTGGGTCTGGCCGTGCTGTGCAGCAGCAGAGCTCCAGAAATGGCTACGCCTCCTATGATGCCGTACTGCACCTCCCAGAAACTCAGCAGGAACGTCAGAAGGAAAGGCAGCAGGTCCAGTTCTGTGGAGGACATCCAAATTCCACCAAACTGACAGAAACATGGGAGAATCATTAAAACAACACATGACACAGATCCTTACTGTGTATCCTCCATATCTTTGCCACGACTCTGTAATCCACCATGGGAGCTACGGCACAGATTATGACGGCTGCGAGGGAAGCTTTGGGGATGTAGTAAAAAGCTGGCATGAGGAACGCCAAGGACAGCAACACAATCACACCTGCAGAGAGAAAATGACTGAATTCAAAAACCTGGGCAAAAATTACATTTTACAAACCATGCAGGAGTCAATTTATTATTTAAATATTACTTTAGATAAAAGCAAGCTGTTAAATTTTGCCTAAAAATTACAAGTTATCACAGCGATTGTTTTTTAAAACTAGAAGAATCGTTTCTTTTACATCTTTCCAACCAAGTTTAAAGTCTTGATTATACTTGATTATACTTTTATGTGATAAAATAAAATCCACCCTTGTTGTTAACTATGACAATATTATTTTTATCTCTTGCAGAATGAGCAGATGGTTGAACAAAGAGCATGTTTGTGTTGGACATCTCATCAATGCTGAAAAGTAGACAAACAAATAAAATGTTTTACCCTGAAAACAAACCCTATCTACTATTTATATTAAAACTGTCGATCTCTTTTATCTGAACACAACTCTTCAAGTTCGCACTAATAACTTGGATAGATTGCAGCTGTTCTAGTGTTTTGTGGTGAGTATTGATAATATTTCACTGAAATCTGACAACTTAAAGTTAAGATTTAGTTATTTTCTTTCCAAATAAATAAAATAAAAGCAAACAAAGTTAATCTGTAGGTTACATTTGGTTAATTTAGTCAGAAAGTGTGAATAAACACATCACCTACCGCTCTTTCTGAACCCATTTTACATCTGAATGTTTCATTGCTCATAAACTTTAACCTTTCAAATGTTACAGGAAAGTCAGGCTCCTTGGAAAAAATATCAGGTAATCTAGTCACAGTAATCTGGGTTACATCTTAGAAAAACATTAAAGTGCCTGTGACGTCAAATTTTTGTAATACATATGAATGCATTTTTAGAAAGAGGACATTGCTAAAATAAAGCAAAAAAAATTCATGTCGCTGAGATAAACAGTTGTTGAGATATTTGCCAGTGAAGTTACAGGAAGTGATGTCAAAGGGGAATATCTGCATGTGAACAGAGTATTGTTACAACAGCCAACAACACAGACTGTGGAGGAGTCTGACGTTACTTAAGATTATTTTGAGTCACCACCAGAGAGAGATGAAGAAGAGTCAGAGTTAAAATATTGTTTCCATAAACAAAGACCAGAGAGTTTTCTTTGTTAAAGAATTCCCCTCTGATGTCACTTCCTGTTTTACTTTGGCCGAGACCAGCTCAAAATAAAGTATGCCAATTAAGGGACAAAATGGGTTAAATCGTGCGTATAATTCCAACTTTCTTAAATATAAAGATGTTTTCTTTGACTTTTTGTATTTGAAGAATATGCATGTCACAGGCACTTTAAAGAATCGAAGGTTGTGGAGAAAAATAATGATGTAATAACAGACTACCACTAGATGGCGGAAAAGATAAAGTAAAAAAAAAAAGAAAACTCACTGGTGACAATACCACCAGCCGGAGTGCAAACCCCTGTCTGAGAGTTCACTGCAGTCCTGGTGATAGAGAAAAAATATGTGATAATATTTCACATTTACTTTACAGACGTCACTTTATTTTGTTAATGATCACCTGCAAAACCAGCATAATCCATAGACCTCAATATCCAGAATGTGCAACATTTAAACAGTGTGCAATAATGTCATCTTACTTTCCTCTACTTTAGTTTTACATTTACAACCAACACTCATTGTGCTTTTTAATTGTTGTATATATGTAGGTATTTGCATGTATGTTCATGCAGATATATAGGCATATTTTAGCTCATTTTATTCTTTTACTCTTTTCTATTTCTTTTAATGTGTATTTGCACTGCTGTGGGAGTGGCTCTAATCTCGTTTTGCGTGTAATGAAAATAAAGGTATTCTATTCTATTCAGGCTCCATGCTTGTCCGTTTATTTTTATTTTTGTTTTTTTTTTTACAAAGTTAAACAGACAAACCTTCCAAAACTGCCAGTGACGGGATATGCCGACACAAAGGAGCCCATGATGTTTGTCACACCGATGGCCAGCAGCTCCTGGTTAGCATTGATCCTATAATTGTTCTGACTGGCTGAGGAAAAGGAGGAAGTTCTGATCAGCCGTTAGTCCGAAGACGCTCAAGTTCTTCAGCTCGTCTGTGGAAACTTTCAATAAAAGCTCTCTAGAAAAAATGTCGTCGGTACAGCTGTGTGGATCGTAAGGACAAAACTACTTACCAAAAGCTTTCGCAATAGCAATGCTCTCCAGCAGACCCATGAGAGGAATCACAGCCAGCCCTCCTCCAAAGCCCTGTTACAAACAACAAACAAACAAACAAACAAACAAAAAAAAAATAAATAAATAAATAAATAAGAATGACGACGCTACACGTTCAGGACAAATTTAGAGAAGTGAAAGTTGCTGCTCAAGTGTCTGCTCCTTCCTTCTGCTTCTTACTTCAACAATCTCTCCGAAAGAGACGACAGTTCCATTAGGTGTTGTGTCTGAGGTGGGCGGGGGTCTGAACGGTGGGAGTCCCTGGGAAGTGTGCCCGGTGATGGTGAACACATGATAACCATAGGCGTCCCAGGAATATGCAACAAGCGTTGCAGCGATGACCACCAAAGCATTGCGCACTGACCGAAACAAACAGGAAACGGAGTAAACAATCACAACATGCGACGTGTTTGATGTTGTTTCCACGTGAAGGGCACTGACTTGTGGCAACAGCCCACACTAGTTTCCTGGCAAAGCTTGAGAATGTGGAGGTGTTGGCAGAAGCTGGAGGTGACTTCATACACATGAATATGATCAGCAGACTGAGACAAACCAGACCCAGGACCACGTCGCCCACTCTGGCTTCTGGGATCTTGTAGAATGTGTAATAAACCTCCAGGAAGAAGTGCTGGGGAACACCCCGGATCCCCAGAATATTCTACAAACAGAAACAGTGACGTCAAAAACAAACAGGTTCACAAGAGGAGTTTACCAAGCTTAGCAACGTTTACAGTTACTCATAGTTATACTCAAAGTCTGGGAAAAATGGTTATCCTGAAGTTTATCACATGATGCAGCCTGAAAGATTCAGCTCCGATAGTGTCCCAGACATGCAACTCTAAAATGTGGGTCCACAATCGAAGCGAAGCACAGTCCACCCTAAACCAAGTGGAAGCTTGAGTCCCGTGACTGACCTACAATAGGCTGTCTGGAATCAGACAAGCATAGAATCTCTGAGAAATCATTAGCAGCAGTGAATCTGCTGCTAAATGTAAAAGAAAAGAAAAAAATCAGTTCCCAGAAAGTTATTCATACTTTTTGAGAGGCAGACTAGAAGCGGAGGACAAAATGTTTGGGACTCTGTCAGTTTGGGACTCTGTCTCACTGTGGGACTCTGTCTCAGTTTGTGACTCTGTCTTAGTTTGGGACACGTGTATCATTTGGTTGAGTGTATGTGCAAAATGTGAAATGAGACCAAATCTGTCTTTTTTTGTTAACGACCTACATATTTTAAGCAGAAACTTATYGGATCAATCTTGTGCCAGCAGGAATTAAATTTGAGTTGCTCAGATTGAATCTGTATGTGCATAATTTGAAATTGAACGCATTGGTTTGAACATAAATTTCACTAAATTGAACCTGAATTTAAAGGTTTGAAGTTTCAATTTAGTGAAATTTATGTTCAAACCAATGCGTTCAATTTCAAATTATGCACATACAGATTCAATCTGAGCAATTCAAATTCAATTCCTGCTGGCACAAGATTTATCCCATAATCCAGAATATCCGACATGTTGGTGATCTAAGCTAGTAGTGTGCAATTCTCGACTCCGATGGCCACTATCCTGCATATTTTAGAGGTTTTTACAGCTTCAACATGTCTGATTTAAGATAAGATAAGATAAGATAAGATAAGATAAGATAAGATAAGATAAGATAAGATAAGATAAGATAAGATAAGATAAGATAAGATAAGATAAGATAAGATAAGATAAGATAAGATAAGATAAGATAAGATAAAACTTTATTGATCCCACAGTGGGGAAATTTGCACATTGCTGCAGCTTAATACAGGAGAGGCTGAGAAGAATAATGAAAGATAAATAAAAGATAACAAACAAAAGCAACCCCACAATATACACATGTGATATATAGTAATGTACATATACAAATGCACATATACACATATACATAAACACATGTCCATATTATTATATACATATGCACCCATTTGAATGAATGGGTGATTGACAGGATTCTGCAGAACATGAAGAGGTAATTCAATCATTAAATCACATGTGTTGGAGAACATGGTTGGTAACATGTAAAACATGCAGTTTAGCGGCCCCTGAGGACCAGGATTGGACACCCCTGGTCTAAGCTTTGTAATTCTGTGATGAAGCAACATAACAAAGGCTAAAATAGTTGGAGTGAAAAGATAAATAACAGATACCATACCAGTGTAGCCATCATTAACATCATCAATGAGTCAATTAAGACCGAAATATTCCAATTTTATACATTATTGTGGCTGTTGTGTGTTTGTATTTAACCTTACTTTGACCTGTCCAAAGCCGATGGTTACAGCAGCAGCACAAGTGAAGCCTTTGATTACAGGGTAAGAGATGAAGTCCAGCAGGAAACCTGTGCAGTGAATGATTTACAAAATTACAGCTAAACATGTCATAGAGATGTAGTGTAGCTAAACTGTAAAGATTGTAGTAAATGTGGCAGAGTTCCACGGTCACAGATTATTTTCACTTCTGAGCTTCGTTTAAAATCCTTAAATTTATTTCTATTTCTACATTACAATCTGTCTGTAAACATCAGTTTAAATAACTGAAATACTCTAAATTACACAGATGGCTAAATGTGATGCAAACTAGTCAATCAAGTTATTTTATTTTGTTAACCTTTGACTAATTTCTGGAGTCATTTTTTTGCAGCTGTTTTTCTCACCTAATCTGAGTAAGGCCATCGCAGCCTGGATGATTCCACAGAGGAGGCTGAGCAGGATGGCTCGGTGAGGCTGTCCCCCCACCACAGAGAAACACAGGAGGGACATGATGGCCGTCGGACCCAGGGTCACATCCTTGGATGTGCCCAGGAGGGTGTAGATGAACCCCCCCATAAAGGCAGAGTAGAGGCCGAACTGTGGAGAAAAAAAAACTCTCAGATTAAAGAACACAGCTGCATTTAAAAACTGTTTTTTCTTCTATTTATCAAGGTTTTTATAATTTATCTTTTTAAAATCTCCTGAATTTGAAGAGAAGTTAATTTAACTTGCGTTACAGTAGAGTTTATAAAATTTAGGAATAAGTTTTAGAAAATGCATTTCCTAAAATTTTGGTGTGCATCTTTAAATCTAAAACGCTAATTAAATTTAATATAAAATAACAAACAAATTGAAAAGATGGTGTAAACTTAGAAAAAGTATTTTTACTTTAAGCTTAATGGTGGGTTAATAACAAGTTCCAACAGAAGTTTCAAACTATCGGCCAATTTCTGTTCTTCCCATTTTTTCTAAGTTACTTGAAAAAACGTTATTTAATCAACTACTTCAGCATCTAGAAGCTAATAATATGCTAAGCAATAGCCAACATGGTTTCCGCACATCAAGGTCAACCATGTCTGCATTAATTTTATTCACTGAAAAAATACGTGCTGCTTTGAACAAAGTCAACTACCTGGTGCTGTATATATTGATTTTCGTAAAGCGTTTGACACAGTTGATCATTATACTCTCTTACAAAAGTTGATTTCTTTTCAACTTTCATCATCTGCAATACAAATGTTTTCCTCTTATTTGACTGATAGGTGTCAGGTTGTGAAACATGGAAGCTCTGTGTCCGGATCTCTGCCCTGTTCCGTGGGAGTTCCGCAGGGTAGCATACTGGGCCCATTGCTTTTCCTATTATACATAAATGACCTTCCAAAAATATTGAAGTATTCAAATATTTTAATGTATGCTGATGATACTGTTCTTTTTTGTCTGATTTCAATATTGAATCTATTAATAGTCAGTTACAAGCAGATCTTCAGACATTTCATGGTTGGCTTCAAGATAATCTTTTGTCAATTAATGTTAAAAAAATTGTGTGCATGTATTTTTCCTCACCCAGGAGACACTTCAATATAAAAAAATCAACTCATTTTTTTAAACAAACCCCTTGATATTGTCACTACCTACAAATATCTTGGAATTACTTTGGATTCTGATTTGACTTATCGTGATCATGTACAAGTCTTAACCACTAAGTTGAAACAGAAATTATACGTTTATTCAAAAATTTTGATCCAATCTGACATCTTCTATTTCAAATATCTATCTTCATGCCATTATACTCTCAACCATGTCTACTGTTTACCTGTTTGGTCTCTTACAACAAATGAAATCTTAGAACCCATAGTTAGGCTCTACAACAGGGCCTACAAAATTCATAAAAAGCTTCCGGGTTGGACTCATCACTTTACAGTTCTTTCATTGTCTGARGCCTTGACTTTTCAGAATTATGTTTTGTACAGTGGTATTAATTTCTATTTTCAGATCTTCCAAGGTGCCAATTACGGAACTCTCTGTGCATTGTTGCCCAAATCAAATTCTGGAAGTGGTCATTCAACTAGATCTGTTACAAAAGAACAACTGATATTACCAACTTTTAAAAACTGTTACGGCCAGAGGTCTTTCTTCTATGTTTATACTAAAGCATGGAATGACATTCCTCAAAACATAAAGTCCATTTCAAAACTACAGCCCTTTAAGAAGAATCTTGTCTGCCATCTGCTGGACACTTTTTGTTGTGCTCATATTTAGACGTCTTTTTTTGCAAATGCTGCCTTCCTGAAATTTGGTATGCTTGTTTGTCTTTGTGTCTATGGTGTATAATGATGTGATTGTGATGCTGTAATTCTGAGTGTTTTATGTGCTGCAGAACAGGAACCTGCTGTAAAACAGCAATTATGCTGAGTCAGGCTTGATTTTTAATAACCTTTTCCTGTTAAATAAATAAATCAAATCAAATCAAGTTCATAGTAATATGTAATGTGTAATATTACAAGTCTAGGACTACAAAAAAGCACAATACAATGAAATTGCAAATAATAGGATTAAAGCTGAAAAATTTTCAAGCTGGGCCTCACTTGCACAGGAAGACCAGCGACTTCAGCGTAAGCCAGCGCCTGTGGGACAGTGGTCAGTCCTACAGTGAGGCCCGCCAGGAGGTCCATCTTCAGATACCTTATCTTGTATTTAGGTAACCAGGAGAGGATGGGCAGCCAGGCCTGCAGGGTGCTGTAGGACCAGCAGCCCCGCAAAGACCCTCTTCCATCCAGAGGCTGATCCATCTCACAAAACTTTAGAGGATTGAACAAATACATCTCAGTTTATTTTCAAATGCATGCATGAGGAGTATACCTGCAGGATAAAAGACACTAACTTACACACAATGATAAAGATTCCTTCTGTTAGCTAAATGTCATCGACTCTGCTTTGGTTTTCCTGCTGACATGGACAGCATTCTGGAAAACACAACAAAAGTGCTGTACGCATGAGTCAGCACTTCTGTTTCTGTCTTCAAAGCAACCAGGCTCTTTGTCTACATTCTTTTTAAAAATGAATGAATAATAAACTTTCTCTAAGCAGTTAACTCAGACTGTCTGCATCAGGATGTTCAGGTGAGTCACAGTTGACAGTCATATGATGATCATCTGACAGGTGTTATTTTACACACACCTGTACCTGAACTTCCAGATTTCTCTCTACATATAACTACAAACTCAAACTAAATTACTCATATAAACAAACATATACATATATTATCATTATTAGTCTTTCTATTATGTGTGCAAACAAAAAAAAACACACACATAAGTTAATAATCTATGTATGTCTTCTGTAATAATCTTTTACGGTATAATACATTACCAAAATAATTCGTAATGAAAGTTAGAGAAATGAAAGAAAATTAAATAAATCGTCACATTCTGTCTTAAGTCTCATTTTGCTCATCGTTCATTGACTCACCTGTGATTTTACAAGTCACTTGTTTCAAATCATTTCAGCGACAGACTCACTTCCCAAAACTTCTGACACCTCGCTGCAGAACAGCTTCCGTTTTTCGCCCGTCCACTCACGTGACTGAGGTCATGTGACAACAGAGGGGGCGGAGCTTAAACTCCAGGAAGAATTTCAGAAAATGTGTGGCTTTCTGTTTTCCTACCTACCTTATTTTCAGAAACTAAAAAGTCAAACAAAAACATGTGTCAATAAAGATAATTCTAATCTTATTTTGTAAAAGAAATGACTCACAACGCACCTAGTTTAGTGTTTTCATAAAGTGGGTGCCCCGGCCCCCTGGCAGGCCCCCAGGGAGAGTCAGGGGGCTTCAACAGGGAAGATGACAAAACTAACGCAAAACATAAATGAAAACTTAATGTTTTAAACCATTATAATATTAAATCTTTTTATCCTTTCTCCGCAAGCATTTAGATGTAGAATGAACAAATAAACAATAAATTGTAAAATAAAATAAAATAAAATAAAACTCAAGATATTCTCAGAAATAATAACTCAACACTAATAAAAAATGTTCAGAAACTGTCCTCAAAAAATGATGATTTTAAACATCCCCCCAGCTTTGTTCAAAATGCCAGGAAAATGCATTTTCAAAATGTCTATTTTTTTTCTGGGGGAGGACCCCCAGACCCCCCACAGACCTCTGCTTCACCTTTAGCTCAGGGGCTTCACTCTATGGATGGCCAGCCCAGCTCCCTACTTTTTCTAAATAAACTTATACTCCTGAAACTTGGACCACACGTTTGTGACCCTTAACTTGAAAAAGTGTGTGAAAATTCATGTACATTTATGGTTAAAAATGTAAAAATATAATTAGAAAATGTTCTGACTCTACAGAACCTTGTTCTTGTGAATATGGAAAAGCTACAATATTTTGTGAGAATAGCTTTGTATAAAAAATTAATTAATAAGGAAAAGGTCTCGTGGTTGTCACATAAAAGCCTGGGTTTCAATTGAGTAACCAGTGAGTTTTTGTAAAGTGACAGAAGCAATCAGAGCAGATGAACTGTAGCTATGATCTTTGCAGGTTTAGGTTTAAAACCTCAGCTGCTGTATCTGCAGTCTGTGATTGGAACAATGAAAGCTGTTTGTGTCTTTGCTGCTTGTGTAGCTCAGCAATGGTTTGGATACGGATTTATTTTGAAACTTCAGACCTAAAAAAAATACTGAGCCTTTCTACAAGGGGAAATTCTGACTATCTCATTTTTCTATTATTTGTAGGGTCATGTTTGCCAGTTGATGAGGCAGATGGTAGAGCTGATAACCAAGGAAAGATACAGGCCAGTAAGTTTATTGGTGGATTTTGGTTTTTAAAATGTTTTTTTTCTTGTCTTTAATAAGGTATCTTTTTGGTTTTTCAGTTGTGTCTCAAAAAGAGTTTTCTCTGAAGAACTCTACTGGATTTATTGAGTCAATGAACTCCTTGTTGAGGCAACAAGGTGAGCAGATCTCTAAAGTCATGATCTTGAGTCTGTTACTGGGACACAAGTTGTGCTCCCCCTTTTTTTAAATGGTTAATTTTAAGGGTGTTAAACTTGACTATTCTTTCAAAGATCTAATTAGCAACGGTTGTAATAAAGTCACTTTTCCCCCCTAGCTCACTTGGAATTTGAAAATGCCTTAACAGTGATGGCCCCCAACATGATTTCGACTTCAGTTGTGTCTGGATGCTGGATCGTCATGGTTTGTGCTGATGACATTAATGTGACCAGCGACACCAATATGACTCTCATTTGGCATGAAACCCTGACTCTAAAATAATTTACTACATTCATAACATGCCCGAATTTCTAAATAAACTTGCTAAGGGCCAGTTTTGTCCTGTTCATTGCACTCCCATATATTCTGTTCCTGCAGTAGCTATGTCTATTGAACACAAATGTTGACTTGAAAGTTAAAGGGATCCAAGATTAGTTGTAACATTAGACTTTATTTGATAAACATATTTTGACTGTAAAAATACTGTAGGCGGTTCAGTTTTTATAATATTTAAACTAAAGGTTTAAAAATATATTACACGGACGGGGCCATTTTATTTACATGCAAAGCATTCTGGGTAATTGATAACGTGGATAGGTCCTCGGTGTGAGCGAGCAAGATCCACCCTGAAGGTTAATCTTGGACAATATCTGATGATCGACTCTTTTAAATGAAACCAGAGAGCGTTGACAGAGAGGAGAAGGTAGAAATYACTCAGCCTGGAACTGAAAATATGGATGGAGGACCTCAGTTTAGCTTGTGTTTCGCGCTAGTGCAGAGCTAATACATATAAGGCAATATAGCATCGGCATTAGCGCAAAGGCTAACAGGRTAAGCTGAGGTTCTTCTTCCATGAAGCAGCTCTGTTGTCCTRCATCRATATTTTCAMTTKCAGGCTGAGTCATTTCTACCTTCTCCTCTCTGTCAACGCTCTCTGGTTTCATTTAAAAGAGTCGATCATCAGATATTGTCCAAGATTAACCTTCAGGTTGGATATGTGACCATTGTCTGGTCATATCTCTCTGCTGCTCAATGATCCACTCAGCGCTGCAGTTTATCTGCACAAAATACCACAGTAATTCAGTCGTGGATAGAGATCTTGTGGACAATTAGCATGAGCTCTGTTTGCCTCGTTTCGAGCAATTTTATGCAGAGCTCATCTATGCTAACCTTTTCAACAGTGATATTTCTAACATATTAGTCTTGTGATCGTATAGTGGATTAAATAAAAAAAATATAATAAAAATGCAATTACTTCAAATTGGTAACCAAAAATTAATTTTATCTGTCTGTCACTTCTTTTATTTCAAACACTATGTGCAACACATATGTGAACAATAAAATAAAACTCTATAAAAGTAATTGCAGAACATTTGCATAACATTCCCAAGTTATACACAGTAACGTACCTGCACTAAATTCAGTCATGGATAGAGATCTTTTGGACAATTATGAGCTCTGTTTTGCCTGGAAAACAGTACCACAGTTAGCAGCCAGCTTAGCTGAACACATGGATATAAAATTGCACCAAATACTATAAAATCCAACAGTAACTAACTGCAAAACATGGTAAAAACAAAACAAGAAGCATAATACACAACATAATACAGTTAACTTTTAGCTTTCAAATACTCTAACATCACTCCAATTATATTTTGTCCACACACATTCGCAGCCAGGTTACCTCATCTCGAGCAGTTCTATGCAAGAGGCTGATTCACAGTTCTCATGATTGATTTACAGTGCAGGTACAACCAGCGACAGCAGATGGTGCTGTCTCATTCCCAATTTAGAGGGATTTAACCAAAGCTCATTTTACTTATGTTACATAGTTCTAGAGATGGGATAAATGGCTCTTTGAAGGGATCCGGATCTTGGGTAGCCGTTTGTTTCATAGAGCCTTTCAAAAGAGCCATTTGATTTTGAACATATTACGTCATCACATAGGGAAATACGACATCACATAGCCATACCTAATAACGTCATCCCGTCACGTGTGTGGAACCGTGTGTTTGTCAAGCGGAACCCCCCCCCCCCCCCCCCCCCCCCCCCCCCACCGTGAGCTTTTGTACTCCACAACTCCGCCTGTTTTCTGTGAAAAAGCAAAGCGGGAGCAATTTAAGTATGAAAAAATAAAGAAATAAAACTACAAATGGCTTGTTACTGCCCGCGATTCGGCTCCTATCATTCGCTGTAAAGAGCCGTTCAAAAGATTCGGATCGTTCACGAACGTCACATCTCTACATAGCTCGCTAGCAGCCTCGCACCGAGGACCTATCCATGTCATCATTTACCCAGAATGCTTTGTGTGTAAATAAAATGGCCCTGTCCGTGTTAAAATATATTTTTAAAAATTTACAAAACTAAACATCCTGCAGTATTTTTAGTCTTTATTTTACAGTTAAAATAAATTTTTATCAAATAAAGTTTAATGTTACAACTAATCATGGATCCCTTTAATATCTGGCCATTGCCAGTCATCTCAGAACAATATATGACCTTTCATGAATTAATAGACAACTTGTCAGCATTTGACCTACAAATTTATCTGGTACACATTTTAATTTTTCTTTTGGGGGGGCAAAGGTTTGAGCTGTTGCTTCACAGCAAAAAGGCAGAAGTTTTGTTTCCTGCCAGAGTCCTTTTTTGCATGGAGTTGGCATGTTCTCCCTATGTGTAGGATGCCTACCAACCAAAAACATGTATGTCCCAAAGACTGACCTGTCCACAGCATAATCCACCTCTCGCACAGACTGCTAGACATGGACTCTAGCTCCCCCATAACTGTGCACTAAGAAAATGTATACTTTTAAAGGTTAAAATGCAAACTAAGAAGCCAATTAAATATACACCTGTTTTTCTCAGTAGGCCTAAGGTAGCCTAATGTGATTTCTGTAGTTGTTAAACTCTCAGAATTATGGGGCGCCACGTGTAAAATGCAATGTTTAAAAAGTCACGAACAGATTTTTCAATATTTAGCTCACTTTTGAAATGCTAAAAAAGCCCCATATGAATTACTTTGTTTCATGACCCCAGAGACGTGAACCAGGGGGGACTAATCTGTGATGTACAGACTTTATTCCTGAATTCTTATGATTAAGAAAACATTTGACCATATCAAAATGAGGATTAAGTCAAATTTGGTGAAAATGACCTCATTACATTTTCAAATTCCTGGCTTTAAAAGCTACATTTTGATACCATTCTAATATAAGCTTGTCCAGAGATATGAAGTAATTTGACTTGATTACAATAATTATTTGATCTAAATCCTAATTTTATGTAAATTTGAGTGATTTTTGACATCAATATAAAGAGGAAATAAAGTATTTGTATATTAAGATTTCCTTGTTGGGAAGAAATTGAAAACATAGCTAGCTCAATTTGAAAATTTTAAGTAATTTTTCGTCGATCAGTTTTTTTGTTGCTACTGCTCAAAAATACTTCAAAAATGTTTTTTTTAGGATTATATTTCAGACCGTTCATTCAAATGATACATAAGGCATTAATTTGTTGTATTTTTGCACACGTTTAAATCAAAACCCACTCTGTCTATTTCTCCAACTCTTTTGGACTTAATCCTCATTTCGATGTGCTGGGTCACATTTTTATTTTTTATTTTTTAATATATATTTTTTCTTCAGACATTTTATTTACTTTTTTTTAATTAAACAACTATTACAAGGCAGTTATCAACATACATTTGAACAAAAGCCAGGGGATACATTTACATAAAGACATTAAATAAAGTGCATAACTCAATAGTTTTTACAGCTTTCTTATTATTAGAGTCAGAGATGCTTGTGATATATTGTTCAGATTCCTTTTTGAACACCAGAAATGAAGGAGTGGAGTGACTGAACTTTGATTTGTGTATATGGTATTTACCTAAGAGTAATATTGAATTTATGACATACATTTGTCTTCCTTTTTTACTTTTTACATCATGAAGACCAAACAAAACATTAAACCAGCTTAAAGAGAAAACAGAGTCAATCTTCATTTGGATAAACTGACTTACTTCTCAACATTTTATTTACTTGACTGCGTTTACTTCTGTCACGTGACTGCAGTCATGTGACACCGGGGAGGCGGAACTTAAAGATGTTTCCGGAAGTTTAAACAAATATGATCGCTGTCTTTTTCCTTCAAATCTGTATTTGAACACATAAATTAAACGAATGGTTTTCTGTTGTATTTCAGCTTCTACAGCCAACACAGAAGGAAGTTCATCATGCTGACTCAGCTGTTTGTTCTCCTTTTAGTTTGTTGTATCGCAGAGTCAAAGAGAAGAAATGTTCTGCTGATTATCGGTAAGAAAATAAAACACTCGGTTATCTCTTAAATGTTCATTAACGCCACTTCAGTCTGCACTACCACACACGCTTCAGTAATGCGTTTTTGAACATTGATTAGTTTTCTACACAGTTTCTGTCCAGTTCTTGTCTTTGATCCTGACAGCATATCTGAGCAGCAAAGGGAGAGAAAAGTAAACAAATGTCTGAAACTTGCAGCTGAAAATATTTGACAATCATGTCTTTAAGAAACCGAAAAATACCAGCTGAGACCTGAACCTGAGAGATGCATCATCCTGTCAAGTCTTCTGCTAATAGTGCTTTTCAAAATCACTTTGTTTGGTGCTGAAGTACTGTAAGGTCTATCAAACTAGGATTTTTTTTATTAGCTTCAACTAAAGTAATAAGAACAAATAGTTGGTGACAGACTGTTTCAGTGAAACTGGTTCTTTAACTTGTCAGTTTTGTGTCGACACAACCGGGTCAGTTTAGGAGCCTTTTTATTATTATTGCCCAAATAAGAATTAAGTAACTTCATGAACAAAAAGAACATCCCTCTGAAAATGGCCACATATGCAATAGAAAATGTCAAACAAAAAAAAAAAAAAAGGAGACGAAGTAAACAAATACATTTTAAAAACTTTAGAAATTTATTGGAACTACTTTAAAAAAACTGCAAGGTATTCTGGCTCCTCTGAAGCAAAATATAGAATTGCACATCACTGTCTCATTAGTATGTGTTAAAGTGTTTACCTTTTTATTTCAGTGGCAGAAGAGAAGAGCTCCAAAGTTCATTCTCAAGTTATTCTGTAATAGAGGTTTTAAATCACCAGCTTTATCACATTATTATTATTATTATTATTGGCAGTAGGGCTGCATCGATTAATCGACAACTAATCGATTATTAAAATAATCGATGACTAATTTAATAATCAGTTAATCGTTTTCTTTTCTATTTTTGTTCTTTACTTTGTTTTTCTCTCCAAACTGCTTTGACACCTTCCACTGCCACATCTGCCTTTCTGTCGTTGACACACATGCACAGTAGTGGTAACTGGGGTAGGCCGTGGACGTCACAAGACATTATACAGACAGGCTCTGGTATCATGGCTACCTGACAACAGNATTATAAGGTCTGTCTTGATACAGTTTTGATTTAATTCAGTTCACAAGTCTGTGATCGATATAAGGTGATATCAATTACTCATCTAACGCAGTGATTGTGTCAGATCAGCTTATATATAATCGATCCACATCATGCATATGATGACCATCATCAGTGTTTGTGTTTTGCCTTAATTTAACTGAATCATTAATCATTAAATTGATATAAAGATGTGAATCGATGTGTTGTTACACCTCCAGCCTGTAAAGCAGGAGTTCATGTACAGTTGAAGCGAACTGGAAGCTTTATCACATGTCTACGTTTTTGTTGTTGTTTTTGTTCATAAAGATCATGAGTTTATATTGTTTTTATTTCTCAGCTGATGATGCAGGTTTCGAAACTGAAGTTTATAATAACTCCGTGGTCCACACCCCACACTTGCGCTCTCTGGCCCAGCGCAGCGTCGTGTTCAGCAACGCCTTCACATCTGTCAGCAGCTGCTCCCCGAGCCGCTCTGCCATCCTCACCGGCCTGCCGCAGGTGAGCCTCACGCTGCAGAGAACGTTTGTTTGGATGGAAAGTTTTATTCAGGTGTGTTTGTCCTGTGTTTCCAGCATCAAAATGGCATGTATGGGCTTCACCAGGGTGTTCATAACTTTAACTCATTTGAGGGAGTTCAAAGTTTGCCGCTGCTTCTCAGTCAGGCTAATGTACACACAGGTAAAAAAATATATATATTTAAATAAATTAGCAATTTATCTCATGTTTGTTACCTTTTTTTCTCTTTCTGTCTGATTTTCACAGGTATAATCGGTAAGAAGCATGTCGGTCCTGGATCTGTTTACCCTTTTGATTTTGCGTACACAGAGGAAAATAACTCCGTCCTCCAAGTGGGGAGGAACATCACCCGGATCAAACTCCTGGTCAGAAAGTTTTTCCAGACTCATAAAGAGGAAGCAAGAGATTTGAGGCGACATAGAGGAAAGAAAAGAAGCAAGAACGAAGATGATGAAAATGATGAAAGGCCCTTTTTCCTTTATGTGGCCTTCCATGACACCCATCGATGCGGCCACTCGCAGCCCCAGTATGGAGCTTTCTGTGAGAAGTTTGGAAATGGAGAAATGGGGATGGGCAGAATTCCTGACTGGACACCAGTGTATTACACACCAGAACAAGTTCAGGTTGGTGGAGACAGGTTCTGAAGACTGTAATGTAGTAAAATCCAGTTTCTAACACATTTTAATCTGCCCCTTCCTCTTCAGGTTCCTCCTTTTGTGCCCGACACGCCTGCATCGCGAGCTGACCTGGCTGCTCAGTACACGACAGTCAGCAGGCTGGATCAGGGTGTGTAACAGAACCTGCAAACAAACAACCAACAACAGGGTCAAGAAGATAAACGCTCCTGGTGCAAATCTCCTCTGCAGGTATCGGATTAGTTCTTCAGGAGCTCAGAGACGCCGGCTATGAGAATGATACTCTGATCATCTACAGCTCCGATAATGGCATCCCCTTCCCCAATGGCAGAACCAACCTGTATCAGTCTGGAACAGCAGAGCCCATGTTGGTCTCATCTCCAGAACACAGAGAGAGGTGGGGAGACACCAGCCAGGCCTATGTCAGCCTTCTGGGTAAGAATAACATGACAGTCCTACTGGAGAGGGTGCAATTTGTTAAAAATGCTAATAAAAATAGATATTTTGTTTTATAGCAAAACAAATAGTATCCATTCCTTCCTTAAGTTATATGGTGTGGTATGAGGGCCAAAATTAAGACTATTGCTCAACCAATGATTGCTACATCCTTGTAGCAGGAGGCTATACTAAGCCAGCTGTTGATCTGAGCAGCTGGCCCCGGGAACTGAGAGGCCGGTGCTGGCAAATGAGAGGGAGACTAAATATTTGTGCAGAGCCGGCTCTTGGCATAGGCGAACTAGGCGGTCGCCTAGAGCGCCATCTGCTGGAGGAGGTGCCAAACTGCAGAAGAAAAAAAAAGTAATTATTTGTAATCCCTGGTTGTAACTCTGCTCAGCGCCCCTTTCAATTAGCTTTGTCTTAAAGCTATAATGAAGTATTACAGGAAAAATAAACTACTCTACCCATAAAACATTTTCTCCCCTCCAATGCAGCAATCACCCCCACCATCTCTCTCATTTGGTTGACGTTGCACTGACTTGTCCTGCTCCGTCACTCTGACGGGGG